CGTTTGAGTCTGCAGCATGTGTGTTTTAGAAACACAGCACTTGGTTGGAAATACTCTGTCATCACCTGTCCTCTCAGTGTAGGGAAAGCTATGAAATTAGACTTTTCTTAACCTGGTATTTTACCATCCCACTTGAGACTCGCACATTGTGTGTGTGGCAGGTTCTTGTTTAGAGCGGGAAAGGCCCGTGTGTGCAAATCAGCTTGTGTCTGAGACCTTTACGCACAGCTCCTCATTCAGTTCCTAAGACAGCCCAGTGTCTCAGGTGTCAGTGTCATTACAGAGGCAGAAACGAAGCCTCCGCGAGCCAAGTGGAGTTTGAGTCGATATCTGTCTGATTCTAAAGTGTGGTTTCTCTTCTCTGTTCCCCTTGATGCTATGAAGTTGTTGAAAACAGAATTGCATTTTAGATGGGAATTTTTCTTCATGAAAAACTATGGTCCAGGGTTTCCGAGTGTTTTTAGATTAGCTTACGGCACCCGCGGGTGCATGCTGCTGTCGTCCGCACCCTTGTCGGACTGGGGCGTGTTCCTGGAGCCGCCAGGATGAAAGGCAGAGTTCCTGTCCTGGAGAGGTGCAGGCGTCGGGGTAGTGGCCTGGCGGTGATCAAATGCCCTGGGCTGCGCGGTAACTGACCCGGGAGAAGGGGCCAGTGGTGAGTGGACGGGCACACAGGACGCCCTCCTGGAGGAGACGTGTCAGAGTGGTGGAGGCCGAGCACAGGGCAGGAGGGATAGGAGGGATGTCACTGCAAGCACAAGGGACATCCTGTCCTAAAACACAGCAGCGCAGCAGGGAGGACGCCTGGGGGGCGGTGGAGCCTTGCGTGGGAAGTGTCCAGGGCGACTGCAAGGCTGAGTGCTGCGCAGGCTGGGTGTGCAGGGCCTCCCCTGCCCGACCCAAGACAGCAGGTGGTGGTGAGGCCAGGCCTGGCGGAGGGGCAGCGGGGTGGGATGGGCTGGTCAGGTGAATGCCTGCCCTACCGCTAGAGGACACAGGCATTTTGGAGCCCCATGGCCTTCCTTGTGATGTACGCCCGTAAAGACAACCATCAGAGCAACCACAATAATAAATATTGACAAAAACAGAGAAAAAAATAATTTTAGAAAAGAACATCACACAACACATAACATCCTGCCTCCGAATCCACACACCTTCTCTCCCTCGCGTAGTCCATGGCCGGGCCTGTTCCCCCAGCGAGCGCCCAGACTGCAGCAGACACCCTCGAACCACCCGCACAGCCCTCGGGGCCCAGCTGCTCAGCACACAGAGCTGCATGTGTTTTGGATCCGGAAAACCTAGCACACAAATGCTGGTGAAGGTGGATCTGGCTTTGCCAGAGCACTTACTGAAAAGTCTTCTAGATTTTGGTTAACCACGTCAATACGAGCATGGTCTGTAGCCGACAGCCACAGATGAACACGCACAGCCCCGTGTCGACTGTAGCCGACAGCCGTGATATGACTTTTCTAAGTTTTCATTTAGCAAAATAAAAATGTGAACATTTAAAAATAACGTAATGAAAACATATATCTGTATGTTACCTGTTCTGATTTACGTTACACGTAAAGCTGCCTGTGAAGTAGAACAAGCGTTCAGGGTTTGAAGGTTTCCTCACCACACGAGCAGACGGCCGCGCCGTCCATGGCAGCGCACACGCTGTGCGACCGTGGTGCGGCTGCGGGCCAGGCGTCGCGGCCGGGGGCGCCGCACCCAGGTGGTTAACTGCGAACTCAGCAAGCACCAGCCAGGTAGTCCTCATCAGTGCACCCAGCGGGTGTTTGTGGCTGCCTGGTGCACCTGTGGGAGGTGGGCACAGAGGGGACAGGGTTCCTTAACTGGGAGTCAGAGACCAGGACACATGGCCACCATTGCCAGTTACGGTCCAAGCTGGCCCATCAGCACCACACCTGCATCACAGCCCCTGGCAGGGGAAAGGACACGGAAGGCAGCGTCCTTCTGCGGACGTGACGCAGAAGTTGCAGGTCTCACTCCAGGCCCACCCTCTCAGGCAGCACTTGGGGCCAGCGCCACGCCTCCCTGCGTGAGAGGCGGGCAGTGCAGGCTTTCCAGGAGGCTCTGTGCTTGCTAAAAGGAAGGCAGGGAGACAGGGTGTTTGGGGTCCAGATGGTGTCTGGCACAGGGCAACTCTGGGAACTATTGTCTGTCCCCTCTGGGGTTCTGACTTTGTCCTCATAGTAATAGGGCGACATCGAGTGCCAAGTGCTGGGGAGATGCAGGGTTGTGGTCAGTGTTTAGAAAGCGAGTCTGGCTCTGGTGGGGAGAGTGGGCCTGGCTCCAGGCAGGGGACTTGTGGACGGAGGCTGCAGCACAGGGTGGTGGACTTGGAGCTTTTTAACAGAGAGCCAGAAAAACGGCCAGACAGAACAAAGGGCCCCAGGGGTCTGCATTCACACAACGCTGATGTCGCAGATCTGTTCAGGTAGTCCGGTGCATGCTTCATTCACTCATTCACAGAACCCTGTGCACCTGCCATGTGCCGGGGCTGGTCCCGGTGCCAGGGTGCAGCAGGGCACCAGAGGGAAAGCTCTGTCCTCAAGGGGCTCATGGCCCAGCGATGAGAGATTAGTCGGCAACAAAACAGGATGATGGAAGGTGGGGACAAGATGCAGGCAGAGGCTCGGAAGTCCCTGGGCAGAAATGCATTTGGCCAGGGGCTGCAAGAAAGAGGAAGCGGGCTGAAGCAGAGCCCCTGGGCCGGCCTGGGAGGAGAGACTGGAGGGGCGGGCAGGGGTGTCCCTGTGGGGTCCCGGCTTTGTTCTGAGAGCAGCATTGGGTGTTTCTAGGCAGCAGGGGTCTGATGGGATCGATGTCTGAAAATCCGCAGCCCGGCTTCTGCACAGAGGCTGCGGGGCTGTGGTTTCCCTCGTAGGGCCGCAGGTGTGAAGTGGCCCGTCCTCGTGGGCGGGCTCCCCCAAACCCCGTCCTGCCGAGTCAGACGTCTGGCGCCTGGTGTCCCTCCTCACTCTGGGCTTGAGGGCCTGCTCCAGCCCCTCATGCTCAAGTGTGCTCGGCGCCAGGCCCACACGGAGCCGTCAGACGCAGACCTCGGGTCCCAGCTCAGGTCCGGCAGCCAGCCCCTTCGCTTCCCCAAGACCCCAGCAGCCCTCGTCCCCACTGACCTCTGCCCTCCGGTGTGGGTGTCCCTCTCCCCTCCCCCCACACCACACTGACACACAGACCCCGAACCGCCGTCGCCACGTGGGGTGTGCGCCCAGTGGCCTGTCTTGACCAGCTCCCGGTTCAGGGTTCCTGGCGACGGGCAGACGCCGTGTGAGTGACAGTAGAAGAGTGTGACAGTCACAAACAAGGGCCTGTGGAGACGCATTTGGTGAGAGATCACTGTGTGCGAATTGGTGTTTTAAGAAGACTGGCCTGACTGTCTGGAGCAGGATGTCTCAAGCACAGGAGGAGGAAGGCCCCTGTGGCAGGCTGGAGGCAGGCACGAAGTGTGACAGGGCCCTCTGTGGCTGAGGGATCATGTGATCAAAGCCGGCTTCAGGCTTTGCTCTTCGTATGATCTGTCTCACTCCCAATTGTCTGTGATATACAGCTGATATTTTTCAACCAGGATTTTTTAAAACCTGCCTGGGCTCTGGTGGTGGGGGAACGGGCACTGGGACGGGGCAGTGAGAAACAGCAGGCGAGGGGCATGGAGCTGTGGCGCTGGCATGTGGCTCCTGCTTTCCCCTGGAACTGTGTGTGAGCACCCTCTCGCCGTGATCGGGGTAGCACGGGGCTGCCGTGGAAGGTGGCCCTCAGTGAAGGCTGTCAGAAGCTCACACAGGCCAGGTGCGGGGGCTTGCGCCTTTGATCCCAGCACTTTGCAAGGCCAAAGGGGGAGGATCGCTTAAGTCCAGGAGTTTGCAACCACCTGGGCAACATAGCAAGACCCCATCTCTATAAAAAATTTTAAAATTAGCCGGGCATGGTGGTGCATGCCTGTAGTCCCAGCTACTCGGGAGGCTGAGGCAGAAGATCTCTTGACCCTGGAGTTTGAGGCTGCAGTGAGCTGTGATCACGTCACTGCACTCTAACCTGGGTGACACAGGGAGAACCCGTCTCTTAAATAAATGAATAAAAGTCTGGGTGTCTGGACAATTGAGAGGGCACTCTTGAAAGAAACAGAGGGTTCTGGGCAGTGGCAGTTGGAGGAAAGTACGAAGTGGTGTGAGGCCTCTGTCACCCTGGCAAGGGAGGTGGCCAGCTGTGACAGGAATGGGGAAGAAAGGCCTGGCGGAGGGACCCAGCTTTTATTCTGCAGGCTGGACTGGTCCTTCCTGAAGTGACTGATTAACCACCCTCCACCCTTCCTGTTTGAGTCTCCAGGTGTTCCTGGAGCGGGGTCTGCCTGGGCAGAGGCCCCGGTGCCCTGGGGCTGTCCCGCCCTCACCTTCACGCGTGTGGACACGGCCGGGGCAGCAGTGCAAGCCGGCCTGACTCGCTTGCTCACCCGGGCTCTCCGTGTGGCCGTTGCAGGCTGGTTGCTAGGGCATGTCCCATTTCATGTGATTCACAGAGTAAATTAGGGAAAAGAAGTCTTTTCACAGATATCTCCTGAATTCACATTTATGTGATTGTATGAGGCAAAGGTGTGTTGCATCATCTTTTGGGGGGAAGTTTCTATAGATGAGGTTTCTTACTCTTTTCAAAACCACTGTTTTTTTCTTTTGGTCCAAAGAAAAAACGTTTCACCCATAGGACAAAATAACTTTGAACAGCGAGTCTGTCTTGTGAAAAGAATAATGGTGTGGTGGAAGCCCAGAGAGCCTGGTGGCGTTGGGCCCTGAGGCCTGCCCGTGGGGGGAGAGGCGCGGCCCAGAGGCCAGCCTCTGCTCCGCGGCAGGACCTGCGAGCCGGCCCTGAAGGCAGGCGGAGCCGGCCCTGAAGGCAGGCGGAGCCGGCCCTGAAGGCGGAGCGCTCGCTGGCCAGTGAGGCGGCGCTCGCAGGCGTAACCTGCTCCTGTGCTTTTATTTCAGATCATCAGAAAAGCCCTCACTGAAGAAAAACATGTCTCAACAAAAACTTCAGCTGCAGATCTTGTGACAGAAACGGATCACCTCGTGGAAAATTTAATTATTTCTGAGTTGAGAAAAAAGTTTCCTTCACACAGGTAGGTGTGTTCCTCATGGAACGTTCTCAGGTAACAGTCGCCATCCCCGCAGAGGAGGGAGGGGCTGGGGCTTGCCGCTTGTTGGTGGGTCAGACTCCAGCCTGACCCATACCCTTCAATGGCAGAGTAAACAAACTGACCCTGTTCTGCATGTTTCTTTGAGATGGGGTCTCTCGCTGTCTCCCAGGCTGGAGTGCAGTGCAGCTTCGAACTCCTGGGCTCAAGCAATTCTCCCACCTCAGCCTCCTGAGTAGCTGGGATTATGCCACCCCGCCTGGCTAAGTTTTAAATTTTTTGTAGAGATGGGGGTCTCACTGTGTTGCCCAGGCTGGTCTTGAACTCCTAGTCTCAAGTGATCTTCCCACGTTGGACTCCCAAAATGCTGGTATTATAGGCACGAGCCACCACACCTGGCCCTGTTTTCATTCTTGTCACTATTGTCTTGACAGCCGCCATGATGTCAACATGTCACCCTACAAACACCGAAAAGGCTCTTTGTACAGCACTCGGGACGCTCCCCACCTGCCTGCGCTAAGCCGTGTGTTCTTTCTGGAGGGATTCAGTAGGAGCATGACACGCCCCCGAAGCCCAGAGCAGTGGTGTCCCCTGGCCGCCTGCGCTGCTGCCGTGCTGGCATCCGGGCGTGGGGGGCGGTGGGGTGCCAGCCGCGCGGGGCTGCTCGCCAGGCCGGAGCGTGCAGCTGGGCGCCGGGACTCTCCCCACAGAGAGCCTTTGTGAGGACGCCGTCTCCTTCTGCTTTTCCTTTTGAGACGGGGTCTCGCCATGTTGCCCGGGCTGGCCTCGAACTCTGAGCGCAAATGATCTTCCCGCCTCAGCCTCCCAAGCATGGTCCTCTTTAGAGCAGAAGTTCTTAACCTTTGTGGGATCACCCTGTGGAAAATTTGATCTTTTCCTCTGAAAAATTAAAATATTTACATAGCATTTTGCATGCAGTTCCAAGGGAGCCAGAGACCCCAGATTAAGACCTCTTCTTTAGCTCTGGGCGCTCTGAGACCCCTCCACCCTCCCCGACTTCTAAAGAACAGGTTTTGAAAACCAGTACCTTAGATGCAATACCTTCCCTTCCTTATGTAGATGTGCTTAAAGTTGTTGGATTTCTAAAACCAGAGTAGCAGTTGCTGGATTTCTGGGCACGTGCTGTCATAGCTGTCAGTTCAGGTTCAGGCCGGCGCAGGCAGCAGAGACAGAGGCCATCGCCCTCAGCGTCCACCAGCACACGGCCAGCTCAGTCCAGTCCTCTCCTGTGATCGATTATATACATGAAAGAACAGGCCTGTGTTAAAACGCTCAGCCTCCTTTTCTCTTGTTTCCTTCTACCTAGTTATCTCTGGGTCACCTGCTCTCCCTTTGAAATTCTCTGGGGGGGGGTGTTTGTTTCGTTGACAACCTTTGTGTTTGAGCTCTTATTTCCTCTTTGATTATTAGGTTTGAAGTTGGTATTTCTGGCATCTGGTATAAAATTTATAAGCTCTAAAATATTTGTGAATTTTAAAAACTTTTTAAAACCTAATTTCACTCACATGGCAATGTCAGAAGAATTTAGCATATAGGTTGCTCTTATTCTTTGAGAGGAAACATGGCTATAGCAACCAGACAGCTATTTTAGGGACTTTATTGCCTGTTTTGGTCTGGAGGTTTCTGTGGCCATGACCACACGGCCATGACAGAGGGGGGCTGGCTCATTTGCACGGGCCTGTAAAGGCAAAAGCAGGTGCAAGGAAGCCATCAGGGCCTGGCGTGCTTTAATCGGGTTAGTTGGAAGACTGCACTCCGAGATTGCATGCCCTGCTGTGCATGTTGGCAGCAGTTGCCAGTGGTTTGGATCCACTATTGTTTAAATATGTGGACTCAATTCCATTTGTAAAAGGTAAACTTAGATGCTCACGGCTGTATACACACGGTAAAAGTTAATGCATCGTGGGATGAGCCCAGGTGTCCCCACCTCCACCTGCAGCCTTAGGGTTGCCAGGGCCCACTGGGCTTCAGAGCCCCTTTAGGAAGCCATGACTCAGGTGGCTCTTAGGGGAGCACCCCCGTGGGCTGGCGCCAGGCCTCCGTCTCTGAAAGTGACCGCTAGGAGAGCCAGACCCAGACATCTGTTCAGGAACCAGTAATCGAGAGCCCTGGCTCCTAAACACCATTCCGTGGGCTCGTGTGGGCGGGGCAGTCAGGGCCAGAGACTTGGGCTGCCCTACGCTTAGCCCCAGGCTCCTCGCCACCCCTCCTCCCCGGCTCTGAGGGCGAATGCGGGGCTGTGGTGAAGGCAGACTGTCTTCCTGGTCCCTGCTAGCTTGCCTCGAAAATTCAGATTAAATAAAATTGTTTTTCACCATATCTATGTGAAGTGCGTCTTTTTGCCAATGACTAAGGTTACATAGAAAATAGTAGAATCTTGGGCATTTAATTGTTTTAGATCATGGACATAGTGATAGATTTGCAATGAGAAAAAATTGCATACATGTTACAAAACAGTGTATTGTAATGTTTCTGCTTTCTAAGTATTTAAATATAACTCTAAACAATATGTTTAATATAAAGTTGCCTGTCATCCTTTTTTGGAAAGATTTTATTCTGAGATCTTGTCTTTCCTTGTTTTTAGTCTTTTGTGATACTGTTAAAGATCAAGTATAGCTGTTTTGGTTTTTTTGTTTGTTGTTTTTGTTTTGAGATAGAGTCTTTGTCACCCTGGCCGGAGTGCAGTGGCATCATCATAGCTCACTGTAACCTCAAACTTCTAGGCTTAAGTGATTCTCCTGCCTCAGCCTCCCAAGTAGCTGGGACTATAAGCACATGCCACCACACCCAGCTAATTTTTCCTATTTTTAGTAGACAGGGTCTCACTCTTGCTCAGGCTGGTCTCAAACTCCTGGCCTCAAGCAATCCTCCTGCCTTGGACTCTTAGAATGCTAGGATTACAGGCATAAGCCATCCTGCCTGGCCTGTTATATTTTAATATAATAAAAAACCTGATGTAGGCTCCCTGGTTTTATTATTTTATACTATGCATCTGTGAAATCCAAAGTCGTGGGCCCCTGACCTGGAAGACAGGCATAGACTGGATCTTCACATTGCTTCTGCCTGTGGCCCGGCAGCTCTGGCAAAAGACTGCACCTCTCAGGGCCTCAAACTCCTCTCCTGTGAGTGAAGGACCCGACCAAGGTCCTCCCTGAGGCCCCAGCACCTGACTCTAAGCGTGCTGAGGTCACACAAAGCAAACCAACAAAGTAAGGTCAGGTTTTTACAGGTTGGGTCTTTTGAGGTTTGTTGGGTGCCTAAACCTGTTTTCAGTTGTGATTCTGACTTAGATTCAAAGGTAGCTGCTCTGAAAATATTCTGTAGCATTGCTGAACTGGTATTGATATAAACCCTGTGCTTGTCCCCTTCTGCCGAGCAGCCTTGTCAGAGGTCGTCTGGGTTGGCCAAGGCAGAGGACAGCACGGCAGCCCTAGCGTAGCCCACCGCCTCCTCTGCCCAGGACCCTTCGCGAGCTGGCGCCCAGCAGTGCACCTGGCGCAGTGCAGTGCCTGTGGGTCCCCCAGCCAGAGTCCTAGACGTGGAAAACACAACCCTGGCCACCACCAGCTAGACATTTGCTGCTAGTCATTTTGCACTGGGCTCTTGTGTCACCTTCAGGAAGGAGCCTGTGGAACAGCTGGCAGGGACAGGGCAGTGGCTTGTGAGGATGGGGCAGAGCAACGTTAATCAGCCTCTTCATGGACTGATCCTCACCTTGTCACAGAGTGAACAGACTAAGTAGCCAAAAAAAAGGTCTTAGAGGCACTTGGCTGTCAAAATTACAAGTAGGGCCAGGCATGGTGGCACATGCCTGCACTCTCAGCAACTTGGGAGGCTGAGGTAGGAGAATTGCTTGAGCCCAGGAATTTGAGACCAGCCTGGGCAACATAGTGAAACCACATCTCCAAAAAAAGAAAAAAAGAACAAAAATTACAAGGGGCATTTATTACAACTATTTTTTTAATAAAGGAAATTTAATAAAGGTTAAATTATGCAGTACAATGTATTCTAACTTGTTACCTAACTTTTAACCTTCGCCTTGTTGCTGTTTCCTCTTGTCTATCGGATAGACTTAGGAAACATTCTTTTTGCTCACTGAGGTTAGTCATGCGCATTGTTGTTCTGTGTCACGGATTTATGTAGACATCAGTGGCTTGTGGGAGGCTTGTTATCTCGCGCTTCCCTGTGTGCAGGCGGACTGTCTCCACTCTCCCTGTCCGGAGCTGTAGGATGTTCTCTCCTGTTCTGTAGGTATCAGCTACCTACATGAGGAGATGAGGTTTAAGTAAACAAAAGTTGCTCATCCCTCCCCACATACGAGGGAAATATTTTTGGTGCCTCCAAAGACTGGATGTGGTCCATGCCTCTGCTGCCTTCAAGGGCCCTGCCCACCATGCTGCCCACAGGCACGAGGCCAGAAGGGCCTGAAGGATGTTCATTCCATCTTTCAGTGGGCAAGTGGGCTCACGAGCAGAAGGTACCAAGGTGGGCAGAGAGGAGGAGAACTCCAGGGCGTGAATTACCAACTGCTGAAAAGTCCATCACTGAATGTGGGCACTTTGATTATTCCCATCAAAAATATTATGCAAACCAGGTGGGGTGGCTTACACCTGTAATTCCAACACTCCGGGAGGCCTAGCCAGGAGGATGGCTTAAGCTCAGGTGTACCAGACCAGCCTGAGCAAGAGCGAGACCCATCTCTACTACAAACAGAAAATATTATCTGGGCATGCTAGTGTACACCTGTAGTCCCAGCTACTCAGGAGGCTGAGGCAGGAAGATCGCAGAGCAGAGCAAAAAAAAAAGTATGCAGAGCAGCAGCTTTGTTAACAGCATTATGGATACTGCTGTGAAAACAAGCTGCTTGGTGACCTCCACCTGCACATTTGACACATGAACAGACAGAGCTCACAGCCCTGAGTGTCCCAGAAGCCCCTCGATATTGTGGGTGGGTGGCCTGGGTGCTGCAGGCTCTGCTTTCTGGCAGACCTCGGTGTTAATGCCTGTAGCCATGTACTCTCCCCCTTCTAGGGCACCCAGCAGCCGCCTCTCCAACTCTCCAATTTCCTACTTGAAATCAGATTTAAAAAGGAAAAGAATTGTACATTTCCTCCTCAGCTTCCTGGGAGCTTATCTTTGCATGTGAGTCATTTCTAGGCCCTTCTAGACTGGAATCATGTCTTTTCACTGCTTTGTCAACCTTGTGCCCAACTCAAGCTTTGGCACTTGCTCCGTGTATATGTGTGCTATTACGGTGTGGACCTTTTTCTTCAAAAACATAATTGCAAGCCATTTCAGGGGAGGAAAAGCACATAGCTACAGAAGACGACATCAAGGCATGTATTTCCAGATCATTTACATATAAAACGAGGGCTGTGTGCACTCAGGGTGCAAACTTCATGACCCGTGAGGATAGTCCCAGTGTGGTTGGGGGACCAGGATGGTTATAGAACATGTGGCAGCTCTGTGAGAACGGTAAAGGGACATGGAGCACTTGCTGTCTCTCAGTGCCTTGGCCGAGGACAGCACTGCCCTGCAGAGCTGTGTCTACATGCACATGGGCAGCCACTCCTGCCATGGGACTGCAGAGCACTTGAAGGTGGCCAGTGAGACTCGGGAGCTGCAGTCCTAATTTTACTTAATTTAAATGTAAACTAACATGTGGCGAGTGGCTGATGTAATGAGCAGAGCAGTTACAGAGGTTTCCACTGGGGTCTCTTCATACATGATGACACCTTGTCGACCAGTCTGCAAGTGCGCTGATGCCAGATCTCAGGCCATGTGGTTCCTATGGGGAAGTGGCTTCCAGAAGCCCTTTGAGGCCAGGCAGCCCTCACCATGATGGGTAATACGCCAAGCACCGGCAGCAGGCCACGAGGCATTTCTTGTTTTTTCACTCGTTTCCTTCTTAGTAAAACGTATTCTCTGCAGGCCTCCTTTTTCTCTAGTGCATATGTGAGCATGGCACAAGAACCTGATAGAACGCCCCTCCGCAAGGCACGCAGTCTCGTACAAAACACACCTTTGCTCGGTGCTGCGGCCCGCCCTCAGCGAACTTGGCCCGGTTCTGAACACGCGCCCAGCACTCTGCGCCAGGTGCCGTCCTGGGTGCTGTGGGTGTTTCCTTCAACCCCAAGCCTCTCTGGGAGGGCACGCGTGGCCAGTGCTGCAGGGACAGGCCCCAGCCGCAGGCTCCCTGGGGTGTGGGCAGTGCAGGGTGGAGGGGCGCAAGGGGCAGGATGAGGGCGGCTGGCCCAGGCTCCTGCTGGAGCAGTGGGTGGTTGGCGATGCCATTGGCTAAGGCAGAGACAAGTGCAGGAGACCAGGAGTTCCCTTCTGCGCAGGTTAATCTTGAGATGGCGGTTGTCTTGGGCAGTTCCTCACCGGATAGGTGGCACACTCCGATGAGGATAGGTCAGGCGCCTTACAGAGTAGGGGCTCACACAAGGCCCACTACAGAGAGGCCACAGGGAACGTTACCTGAAGGAGGAGGGAGTGTCCCATCTCCACTCCTTCCTGGGGCCCTGTGCCCTGCCCCAGTGTGCTCCCAAAGGAAGCCAGAGGCCAGGACGGGAGGGCGTCCTCGGGAACAAGATGGCAGGGGCTGCTGCTGTCACCTGTGTCTGCATTTCAGGGGATGCCAAGCTAGGAACACACCTGGGTGGTGTCAGTTGCAGGTGACATTTAACCCCTTGGTCCCTACCCAGCACTGCCTGGAGGAGGGCTGCACCCAGAGTCCTTGCGGCACTCCGCCCCTCCACACCTGCGCCCTCCTCACCACACTCTGCCCCTCCGCGCCGCGCTCTGCCCCTCCACGCCGCGCTCTGCCCCCTCCACGCCGCGCTCTGCCCCTCCACGCCGCGCTCTGCCCCCTCCACGCCGCGCTCTGCCCCCTCCACGCCGCGCTCCCCTCCACGCCGCGCTCTGCCCCCTCCACGCCGCGCTCTGCCCCCTCCACGCCGCGCTCTGCCCCTCCACGCCGCGCTCTGCCTCCTACACGCCGCGCTCTGCCTCCTACACGCCGCGCTCTGCCCCCTCCACGCCGCGCTCTGCCCCTCCACGCCGCCCTCTGCCCCCTCCACGCCGCCCTCTGCCCCCTCCACGCCGCCCTCTGCCCCCTCCACGCCGCCCTCTGCCCCCTCCTCGCGGCGCTCTGCCCCTCCTCGCGGCGCTCTGCCCCTTCCCGACGCGCTCTGCGTCTCTCATCCGCCTCTCTGCAGAGGGAAGTTAAAGCAAAGTTTGGCTTTGCTATCTACACGGTTTACCCGTGTTCTTTGCTCTTCTCTGCCTGCCCTGCTTGAATTCCCTGAGCTCTTCCAAGACCCCGACACTGAGGAGTTGCTCTGGCTTCCAAACCCTGCTGAGTGGGTAGACTGGCAGACAGGGAAAAGCGGGTGGTCTTTCAAGGACGCTGCCTCTGTTGGACCTGGAGAAACCACAATGAAATCTGTTAACTGTGCCTACTTTTTCTTTAGCGGGACTGGAAGCAATTTGAGGTGACTTGCTCTGCCTTCTTGGTGCGTTTTATGAGCCTGAGCTCCTCCACTGCAGGTTCATTGCGGAGGAGGCCGCAGCCTCTGGGGCCAAGTGCGTGCTCACCCACAGCCCGACCTGGATCATCGACCCCATCGACGGCACTTGCAACTTTGTGCACAGGTAAGCGGAAGCAGAGAGCACCTCCATTGCAGGCTTGGCCTGTCCTCTTGTGTAGGCCTTTGTCTTTTCAAAAGCAGCATTTTTAAGGCAGGAGTACATAAACCTATAGTCGGTTTATAGTCTCGTTAAAAAGATGATCAAATCTTGATATTTCTGAAATAAGGTTTTATGTTTGTGAGAGGCTCTTGGAGGGTGTACTTGTTTAAAAGCTGTTGTGTTTGTTATGTTAAAAATGTTGGGTTGCATTCAAGAAAGACCCTTCTAGGAGCTCGCCAGGGAGGCAGGCAGAGTTGGGATGCGAGGCCTGTGCTGACCGGCTGCAGCGGAGTCGAGGTGCAGAGCGTGGCACGTGACAAGTGCGATCCGAGTGCCGCCTTTGTGCACACATGGGAGCAGACTTTGTAGTTACAGAAAGCAGGAGGTTTGGGGAGGCCAAAGGGCCTGTCGAAGTGGATGACGGGAATGGAGCTACAAAGCTGGGGAGGTGACAGGGAGGAGACAGGGACACGACCACAGGTGCTCTCTCACAGCAGGGCAGGCGGTGGACCTGCAGGTGCTTGTCCAGGGCCACGCACCGGTGGCTGAGGGCCCTGGACACAGAATGTGAGGCCACGTCCACGGAGGGTGGTTCTCTGACTAGAGTGTGCCCAGAGCCCTGCAGATCCCCATTCCGTGACAGGGCGGGGTGGCCCACGGCTCACAGCTCCCACCGGCCCACACCCACCGGCCACACCAGCACTGCCAGACCACAGGCGACAGTGAGAAGCGAGAGCAGAGCAGGGTGTGGAGTTCCTCACACCCAGTGTCAGCCTTTATGTTTTTTGCTCTAATGCTACATTGATATTTAAAGTGTTGTGAAGCAATTCTGAGTACCATGGTAAGCATAGCCTTTTCATAGGTGAGGGTCACCTTGAGAATGCAGTCATGCCTGCGCAGCTGACCCGTTTTAGGCAATGGAGTGCTGTGTCACCAGGCTGTCATTTCAACTGAAGTGTGACCCCAGGGTGAATGTCACAAGGGGAGCACCCGTCACTCCGTCCTGCTTGTTGCCCCAGGGTGCGTATGTTGGGCACGCGGAGGCTACTGACCGCCCTGGGGCGAAGGCTGCACGTCCATCTGAGCGTCTGCCCACAGCACCAGAGCCACGGGTTCTAATACTTCCACCTGCAGCCCTTGGTGAATGTAGGGCCAGAGAGGCTGCTTGGGGGAGAGAGGCAATTTCAGAATAGACTCTAGTGTGGTATGGACAGTTCTAAAGCACCAAGGCCCTGCAGTGCAGAGGAGAAAGCTCTTCTGAGCGTTGGCAGCTGCTCCGCGAGCCAGCAGGCCAACGGCCGGGCATCTCAGAGCCCTGCATGCTTGCCGTCAGGGCTGCATTGTGTGCACCTGCTGCCTTCCCTCATTTCCACCTGCTTTTTTGTTCATTTCAGAGTATTGCAGGGATATAAACATTTTGGTTACGTAAATTATAAGTGTACCCATCCCCCAGATAGTGTGTGTTGTACCCGTTAGGTGTGAATTTACCCATCCCCTCCTCACCTCCCCACCTACTTGATTTCCAATGAGTTTTATTTCCATATGTGCATGTAAGTGTTGTTTAATTCTAATTTGCTGGTGAGTACATGTGGTACTGCTTTTTCCATTCTTAAGACACTTCACTTAGTAGAATAGACTCCAGCTCCATCCAGGATTATATAAGAGGTGTTAGATGACCATTGTTTTTTGTGGCTGATTAGAACTCCATGGTATACATATACCAGATTTTATTAATCCACTCATATATTGATGGGTACTTGAGTTGTTTCCACATCTTTGCAATTGCAAATTGTGCTGCTATAAACATTCTACTGAAAGTGTCTTTTTTATAAAATGTCTTTTTTTCCTTTGGGTAAATACCTAATAGTGGGATTGCTAGATCAAGTGTTAAGTCTACTTTCAGTTCTTTGAGGTGTCTCCATACTACTAGCCATAGAGGTTGAACTAGTTTGCAGTCCTACCAACAGTGTATGAGTGTTCCTATCTCTCCACATCCACGCATTTGTTGTTTTGGGATTTTTTGATAAAAGCTATTCTCACTAGAGTTAACTCTTTGCACTCGGATGTTGAGTGTGACCCAACACGGTTAGTATCGGTAGCAGCTCATATGTCGAGCCACACTCGACACGTAGTTTCACCACTGGGATAAGGGAGATTTTTGTCTATTTTTCCAGTATCTTTTCTTGTTTTCATTAGCATGAAAGGACAAGTAAAATGTAAATGCAGAGATGGTACACTAACTTCCAGGGGTAGGTTATTATCCACTTAGAGCAATGTTTAGATGGAAAGCTCCATATAATCACACCTCACCCTAAAAAAACCACAAAGATTGTGTGGTTTGTTCTAACAGAAAAATCAGAGGGGGAAGAAGAGAGACGATTTATATTTGCAAAACATGTGAATGTAAACCAGGTCTTCATGTGAGTGAATGTTTCAATAAATATCACACCATGAAAAATTATAGAGATTAAAATTACTCTTTGAATGTATCAATAATTTGAGATATAAAAAATCCAAATAAATAAGTTTGTATGAAAAGAAACTCCAGTTTTTTATTCTACTGCCATGCTTTGTAAAATCTGGGGTATTTAAAAAATTAAATCCCGAGTAGAATAAAGGAATCGAGAAAAAAGCAAGCAAGTGCAAAGGGTTAAGTGATATCTCATTGTGGTTTTGATTTGCATTTCCCTAATGATTAGAGACGTTGAGCATTTTTTCATATGTTTGTTGGCCATTAGTCTATCTTCTCTTGAAAAGTTTCTGTTCATGTCTTTTTCCTACTTTGTAACGGGGTTGTTAGATTTTTTTTCTTACTGATTTGCTTGAGTTCTTTGTAGATTCTGCTTATCAGCCCTTTGTCAGATGTATAGCATGCAAATATTTTCTCCCATTCTATAGGTTGTCTATTTGTTCTAGTGATTGTTTCCTTGGCTGTGCAGAAGCTTTTTAATTTGATCAAGTCCCATTTATTTAGTTTTGTTGTTGCTATGATTGCTTTTGGGGCCTTCATAAATTCTTTGCCTGGGTTAATGTCTATAAGAATTTTTCCAACATTTTCTTCTAGAATTCTTATAGGTTCATGCCTTAGATTTAAGTCTGTCATCCATCATGAATTGATTTTTGTGAGCGGTGAGAGGTGTGGTTCCTGTTTCAGTCTTCTACATGTGGCTATCCAATTTTCCCAGCACCATTTATTGACTAGGGATTCTTTTCCCCAATCTATGTGTTTGTCTGCTTTGTCAAAGATCTGATTGCCACATGAGGATGGTTTTATATCTAGGTTCTTTGTTCTGATCCATTGGTCTATGTCTCTTGTGCCAGTACCATCCTGTTGGTTACTATAGCTTTGTAGTATAGTTTGAAGTCTGGTAAAGTGAGGCTTCCTAATGTGTTCTTTTTGCTTAAGGTTACCTTGGCTATTCAGGATCTTTTCTGGTTCCATAAGAAGCATAGAATTATTTTTTCTAGACGTGAGAAAAATGACATTGGTATTTTAATGGGGATTACATTGAATCTGTAAATCACTTTGGGTAGTATAGACATTTTAACAATGTTGATTCTGATGATCCATGAGTATGATATGTTTTTCCATTTGTTTAAATATTTGCACTTTCCTTCCTCACTGTGTAGGTCTTTTCCTTCCTTGGTTAAATATATTCCTAGGTATTTTATTTTCTCTGTTGTTATTGTGACAGGTATTGAGTCTTTGATTTTATTCTGAGCTTAATTAACTGTTGTTGGCATATAAGAATGCTACTGATTTGTGTATAATGATTTTGTAACCTGAGATTTTGCTGAATTTATTTATCAATTCCAGGACTCTCTTGGCAGAATCTTTGGGGTTTTTAGATATAAGATCATATCATCAGTGAAGAGAGACAATTTGACCTCTTCTTTACCCTTTTGGATACCCTCAATTTTTTTTCTCTTGTCTGATTGCTCTGGCTAGGACTTGTAGCACTATGTTGAATAGAAGTGGTAAAAAAGGCAACATTGTCAGGTTCTAGTTCTAAGTGTGAATGCTCTCAATTTTTCCCTATTCAGTATGTTATTAAGAGTTCTTATCATAAAAGGGAGCTGAATTTTGTCAGATGCTTTTTCTGCATATGTTGAGAGGATAACATGGTCTTTGTTTTTGCTTTTATGTGGTGCATCACATACATAGATTTGCGTATGTTGAACCATCCTTGCATCTTTGGGATGAAGCCCACCTAGTCATGGTGGATTATTTTTGATGTGCAGCTGAATTTGGTTTGCTGGGATTTTACTGAGAATTTGCCTCTATATTCACAAAGGATATTGGTCTGTAGTTCACTTTTTTGCTGTGTCCTTTCCTGGTCTTGGTATCAAGGTGATACTAGCTTTGTAGAATGAGTTGGGGAGGATTCTTTCCTACTTGATGTTTTGAAATGATTTCTGCAGTATAGGTACCAGTTCTTCTTTGTAGGTCTGGTAAAATTTTGCTGTGAAACCATCTGGTCTGGGACTTTTTTTGTTGTTGGAAGATATTTTATCGATGCTTCAGTTTTGTCAGTTAATACTGCTCTGTCCAGGAGTTCTATTTCTTCCTGATTGAGCCTAGAGAGGTTGTGTGTTTCCAGGAATTTGTTCATTTCCTCAATATTTTCAAGTTTATGTGCATAAGAGTTTTGTGGGTTTTTTTTCTTTTTTTTTTTTTTTGAGAGACAGAGTCTTACTCTGTTGCCCGGGCTAAAATGCCTTGGCATCAGCCTAGCTCACATCAACCTCAGACTCCTGGGCTCAAGTGATCCGCCTGCCTCAGCCTCCCAAGTAGCTGGGATTACAGGCATGTGCCACCATGCCTGACTAATTTTTTTATATGTATATTTTTTAGTTATCCAGATAATTTCTTTCTATTTTTTTAGTAGAGACAGATCTTGCTCTTGCTCAGGATGGTCTCAAACTCCTGAGCTCAAATGATCTGCCTGCCTCAGCCTCCCAGAGTGCTAGGGTTACAGGCATTAGCCACCACGCCTGGCCTGCATAAGAGATTTCTATAGTATTCAGAGATGATATTTTGTATTTCCATAGTATCAGTGGTAATTTTTCCTTTTTCATTTCTGATTGAGCTTATTAGAGTCATTTATTTTCTGCCTCTGGTTAATCTAACCAGAGGCCTGTCGAGTTTGTTTATCTTTTCAAAGAACAAACTTTTTACTTTATTAATCTTTTGTATAATCCTTTTGGAATCGATTTCATTTAGTTCTGCTCTGACCTTAGTTGTTTCTTTTCTTCTGCTAGGTTTGGGATTGGTTTGCTCTTCCTTTTCAAATTCCTTGAAATGATTCATTAGATTGTTGATTATGATCTTTATGTCTTTTGGACATAGGCATTTAAGACTATGAATTTGCTCTTAGGACTGCTTTTGCAGAATCCCACAGATTTTCGTAACTTGTGTCACCTTGGTAATTTAGTTTGAAGAATCTTTTGATTTCCATCTTAATTTCCTCTTTGATCCAATAATCATTCAGCATTAGGTTGTTTAATTTTCATGACTTTGTCATGAAAATGAGTTGAATGTTTTTGTTGGAAATGATTTCTAATTTTATTCCACTGTGGTCTGAGAACATACATGGTATAATTTTTAAAAGTTTGTCAAGACATGTTTTGTGGCCTAAGATGTGATCAATCTTAGAGAATGCTCTGTGAGCTGATGAGAAGAATATGCATTCAATAGTTTGGGGGTAGAATGTTCTGTAAATGTCTCTTAGGCCCATTTGTTCTAGAGTCTTTTTTAAGTCCATTGTTTCTTTTATTTTCTGTTTGGAACACCTGTCCCGTTCTGTCAGAGGGGTGTTGAAATCCCTGGCTATTTTAGTGCTGCTGTTTATCATTTTGTTTAGATCAAGTAGGATTTGCTTTATGAATCTGGGTGCACCTGTATTAGGTACGTAGATATTTAGGATTCTTCTGTCTTCTTGTTGAGTTGTTCCCTTCACCATTATATAATGACCATCTTTTGTTGATTTGAAGTCTGTGTTATCTGATATGAGAATGGCTACACCAGCTTTCTTTTGGTTTCCATTTACATGGAATGTTGTTTTCCATCCCTTTACCTTGAGTCTGAATGAGTCCTTGTGGGTTAGATGCATTTCCTGGAGACAACAGAAACTTGGCTTGTATTTTTTATTCATTTAGCCAACCTGTTCTCTTCATTGGGGAGTCTAAGTCATTTACATTTATTGAAAGAATTGACAAATGACATGGATTTCTGTTTATCTTGTTGGGTAGACCCTTATTGCTTTGTTTTACCTCTTGAGCCATTGTGGTATCTGGACTCTGACCTTTAGCTTTTGGATGGTTTTACACTGGTGGCTGGCTGTTGTGCTGATAAGTGTATAATGTAGATATGAGTACTTTCTGCATGGCAGGTCTGATCTTGACAGATTCCTTCAGCATTTGCTTGTCTGAGAAAGTCTTTATTTCTCCATCATATAAGAAACTTACTGTTGCAGGATACAAAATTCTAGACTGGCCATTATTCTGTTTGAGAAGACTGAGAATGTGGCCCCAGTCCTTTCTGGCTTGTAAGGTCTCAGTTGGGAAGTCTGCAGTTACTCTGACAGGTTTCCCTTTGTAAGTTACCTGATGCTTTCACCTTACAATTCATAGGAGTTCCTCTTTTGTGTTAACTTTGGCCAGTCTAATGACTATGTGTTGTGGTGATTGCCTCTTGATGAATCTCCCAGGAGTCTCTTGTGCTTCTTGAACCTGGATGTCCAGATTTCTAGCAAAGCCTGGGAAAATTTCCTCAAGTATTACCTCATATAGGTTTTCTAGGTCTTGTATATTTTCTTCTTCACTCTCAGAGATGCCTATAATTATTATGTTTGGCCTCTTTACGTAATCCCACATTTCTTGTAGGCTTGCTTTGATTCCTCTTATTCCTCTGTTCTTTCTCTTTGACTGACTTGTTTAATTCAAAGGCGTCTTGTAGCTCTGAGATTCTTTCCTCTGCCTGATCTAGGCTACTCTTAAGGCTTTCCACTGTGTTTTGTATTTCCTTGAATGAGTTTTTCATATCTTAGTAGCTCTGATTAATTTGTTTAATAACTCAATTTCTTTAGTGAATTTTTCATTCATTTCCTTCATATTTTTGTGGTTTCTTGGTGTTGGGTTTATATTTTCTCTTGTATTTCATTGAGCTTCTATTTAATCCATATTTGAAATTCTCTATTAGTCATTTAAATATTCTCATTTTGGTTGGTTTCCATTGACATGGAGTTATTGTTTTCTTTTGGGAGTGTCCTTTCACTCTGATTTTTCATGTATCTGGAGACATTTGCTGATTCCTTCTCATCTGGAGCAGCTTTTGCTTCTTATTTGGGGGTTTTGTTTTGATTAGATAATGACATGCCCAGTTTAATCTCTGATACAGTGGATAGTGCTTGAGACTGAGACTCAACTACACCCTGTATGACTGAGTCAGTATATGCTGTAAAAGGCATGCAAATTTGCCTCCCTGTCAATAGGTTGTGCTTGCGGGAAGGAACAAGCTACAGTGTTGTTTTTGGGTCCTGTGGTGGCTCTAGTCTCTCCAGAGATGCACTTGATTGCCCCAAGTGGTGGGTGGGGCCCTGGAACTTGAGATTAGTCCTTATTCTCTACCATAGCAGAGGTAGAGGGGGGAGTGAGGCTGGGCCGGATGGGGCCAGGTTGGGTGAGCTCACCCCCAGGCTCTGCCAAAGCTGGCAAGGGATCCTTCTTGGTGGACTCCAAGCCTCTCAGGGCTTATCTCTGCCAATATCCTGCACCTTTGTGTTCTCCTATTTCTGGGTGCTAGAAGTCAAGATCAAGGTGCCAGTGGGGTTGGTTTTGTTTGTACCTCTCTTGTTTCCACCTGTTTTTAACCTCTGATGATCTTCACATAAAGGAGGTATTATTCTGAGGACATTGAACAGCAACAACAAAATTGTCAAAACCACAGGCAAACTGTGGCATGAAAACTGTCCTTATGCCACTGCAGCTCGCCCTGCTGGCTGCTTGGGTGCTAAGCAGGGACAGGGAAGGGGACAGGGTGTGGGTGGTGCCAGAGGTGGCCTGTGGCACAGAACCAGCCCCATGGGGAGGCTGTGGCACCATACCCAACCTGGGACAGGGGCCTGACCTTTTGGGAGGACTCTGCTGTTGCTTTGGGTCTCTGAGAACCAGGAAACTGATTATTCAAATCCAAATTGGGTATCAGAGGGTCATTGTTTTATTGCATCAGCCTCATGTGACTTTCAGCGTTAACTGTCTTACCACATAATCAGCTAAGTTTGTTTGTCTTGTAAGCAGTTAGTAAAACAATGGGAAGTAGTTTTTTAAAAACCAACGCACCCAGAGTGTAGAAAAGTCCTTGTGTGCCCTGGATGAGCTGCCCAGCACACGCTGGCTCCTGAGAGCTGGTGCTCCTGTTCCAGGGTGTGAACTGCTCTGCTTTCCTTTACAGGTTCCCCACCGTGGCAGTCAGCATTGGCTTTGCTGTTCACCAAGAGGTAGGCCGTGTGGTCCCCGGGGGCCCTCGTCCTTCCTTCCCACTTCAGCCTCTGCTTGTTTTCTTTCTGTCCTGTGCCTCTACCGTGACTGGTAGGTCCAAGTCTGGTTCCCAAATCTGAGAAAGTAAATAAGCACAAACCGGTTTAAGGGTGTGCAGGTGTGGGGCCCCATGGCCAGCCCTCATCCCCACAGGAGGCTGGCCCTGGCCTCCGCACAGTCTTCTCATGATGCTCCCATTGAAGCGGAAGTTCTGAGTTAGTTTTGGTCCAAGTCAGTCTCCCTCTGACCCCTAGAGCGTGTGATCTAGTCACAACAAAAAGGAGCTCATACTTTTAGAGACCGTTTTTAATCCCAATATTCTATTAATTCTTTATCTTCCTCCAGCTGTTAGTATGAGAACATGGCTTTTCCAAGGTTCCCATAGACCTTCTGAACTCCTTAATGTCACGGGGCCCGCGTGGAAGGCTTGGGGCTGAGGTTTAAGCTTTATTAGCCGATTCAAGCAGCAACATTTAGAAGAGCCTTCGTTTCTCTGTAGTGAAAACAATTTTATTTGAGTGGGGCTGAGGGCGGCTGTCTCCCCAGCACGGCCTCCTCCAGAATAGCATTTGTCCGTGCTGATCCTCGGTCTCAGTGTGGATCCCTAGCATGGGAGCTGAGAGAAGTTTACACCCAGCTCAGAATACTTAAGTTGAAGATAAGTAAGAATTTTAATATTGAAATTTGGGTAAGGACTTAATTACTGACTTGTTTCTTTGCTAAATGTCAGGAAGCCCTGTGAGTGTGGGAAGCTGAGCCGCACTTTAGGGAGACAATTGATGTTTGTGACCAAGATCTTCCCAGTGACCAGGGAGAGGGCCACCGGGAGGGCTGGCGTCGCCTCAGCCCATCTGTGGGCCGCGTGTCTGTTCTGCATTCCCGGTGGCTGACTGAAGAGTTACTCCCCCTTGTCCTGGGCGTGGGGCCCTTTACAGGCCCTCAGAGACCAGCATAATTCTAGGATTGGCCTGGATTTGCAGATCCCTTTAAAGCCAGGGCTCTGGAAAGGGAGGAGGATCATTAAGTGTCGCTAGAAAGCTGTAGGCTCTTAGCAAGTGCTCTCCGAAAGACCCCCTCCCAGAAACCGAGCTGTTTTCTGTAGGTCGGGGCATCTGTCGGTTCTGCTTATCCCAGGGCCAGCCAAGGCATCTGGCCTGAGTCTTCATTTTCCAGAGAGATGGACATTTGGCTGACCCCCACACCAAGCATGCTCGCTCTTATTAATCCTGAGTAGTGGAAAGTAGGAAGAGGAATGGTAACAAAGACACGAGGGTACAAGGCTACATGGTTTTTCATACTGACCCCTCCATCTTGCTGTTTCCTGTTGGGAAGGTGGTGTCTGACCTTGGTATCCGCCTGCAGCAACAAGGCTGCCGGTGTGCGCGGTCTCTGTCTTCCCGGCGCTGCCCTTGGGTTTTGGGATGTGTTCTTCAGTCTTCACACATCAGCAATTTTGAGGATGTCTTATGGGGTTTACAGTCACAAGTAGCCTTTTTTTTCCAGTAAAAAAGAGCTTTCTAAAGAATTAACTTTTTCAATAACTTTTGGTTACTAATGTATGATTATGATTGTTAAATTTTAATATAGTTATTAGTCTTTTTTTTCTTTTGAGTCAGAGTCTCACTCTGTTGCCAGGGCTAGAGTGCCATGGCGTCAGCCTAGCTCACAGCAACCTCAAACTCCTGGGCTCAAGCGATCCTCCTGCCTCAGCCTCCCGAGTAGCTGGGACTACAGGCATGCGCCACCATGCCCGGCTAATTTTTTGTATATATTTTTAGTTGGCCAATTAATTTCTTCCTATTTATAGTAGAGACGGGGTCTCGATCTTGGTCAGGCTGGTCTGGAACTCCTGACCTTGAGCTATCAACCAGCCTCGGCCTCCCAGAGTGCTATGATTACAGGTGTGAGCCACTACACCTGGCTAAAGTCTTAATATATTTTAAAATATAGTTATTTAACAAAAGAAAACTTTCTTACATGTCCAGGTCTAGTTTTAAGTCTAGACACTGATTTTTTTCTATTCTTTTATGAAAGGTAATTTCTGCCCCATCCTACTGCGTTCATCTTAACGCCCAGAGCAGCCTTCATCTTTGAATCACTGTGTTTTTCCCGTGTCAAATGAGTGAACCACATTTGTTTTCTGTCCTGCCTCTGCACCCGCAGCTTGAGTTCGGAGTGATTTACCACTGCACAGAGGAGCGACTGTACACGGGCCGGCGGGGCCGGGGCGCCTTCTGTGACAGCCAGCGGCTCCAGGTCTCCAGAGAGACAGGTGGGGCTTCACGAGGCTCGTCTCAGGTCATTCTGGTGGAGGTGTGTGAATAGAAAATGCCAAAGTCACCGTCACGTGGGATGGTGGTGGAAATCTCCTTCTGATGCTTTCATCTCTTCTTAGGGACATCATGTCCCTGACGGACGGAAGCCAAGCCAGTTCTGTATCTTAATGTGTTTGGTAATGTGGCCAGGAGCTTTAAACAGTTTTGTTCTGTTTGCTACTCACATCCTTCATCCTTAAGGCAGAGAAGAAAGACTCTGGTACAGTTATGGTGGGTCTGGTGGGACTGGGTGAGCAACTCGGGGCCAAAGACAGGCAGAAGCATGGTCTAAGCCCTCAGGTGCCCAGGTGCACCTCAGTGGTCCTGATGTCACCTAGGTGACGTCACTCAGGTGCAGTCTGTGGCTCCCTGAGTTTAGAGTAACAGCATTTGGCTCAGTTTCTGTGAGAAACAGCAGCCTCGGGAGTGAGTTCCATAAACAAGTGCGTTTCCACGCACCTTGGACCCTGTGGCTATGGCCTGCCCTGATTTCCTTAGAGCAGAACCTCAAGGATATCCCATAGCTTTTAGAAAGGGCTTCTGGGCGCACGCCTGTAATCCCAGTGCTTTGGAAGGGCAGAGGCAGGAGGATCACCTGAGCCCAGGAGTTGGAGGCTTCAGTGAGCTGTGATGACACCACTACACTCCAGCCTGGGTGACAGAGGGAGACCCTGTCTCAAGAAAATATAGCTAGGTAGCTAGATGATGGATCAATAGAAGATCAGTACATGGATGATAGATGATTGGGTAGAAGGGCTCCTGCCACTCCCGCGCTGCCTGTGCTGCGCGCAGCCGCCCGTCAGTAGCAGCAGGCCTGCTTAGGGTTTCCACCGCTGTCTTTGGCTTTTCTCCCACGTTGATTGAACTAGTGCTGTTTTATTGCATCATGAGATAGGTCCTGTAGAGCGGTGGTCCCCAAGCCCCGGGATGTGGCCTGGTCCGGTCTGCACCTGTAGGGACTGGGCTGCTGAGCTCCGCCACGTGCCCCTCCTCCCCGCCCCATGCATAGAAAAATTGTCTTCCATGAAATGGTCCCTGGTGCCAAAAAGGTTGGGGACTGCTGCTGTAGGGGACGGAAAAACGCCAAATAGAAATACAAGGAAGAGCCCGACTAGAAGCAACTGGATGAGAAGACTTTAAAAGCTCCTTAGTATCCATGTTGGCTTCAAGAAGGTAGAAAGCACAGTTCCTGCTAGTTCCTACCTTGCCTGTTTCTGGAGCTGGACATCCTGTCCCCGGACTCCCAGTCACATCCAACTGCTGGAGGTCATGTCACCCCGTACCTGCCATTTCCAGCCTCTTTTTAAAGGCCTTTCCTAGCTCCCTTCTCACTGCATCTCTCTTTATGCCCCATCTGTTCCTCCCTGGTTGACGCCTGTGGCTGGATGGCCCCAAAGGCAGTGAGAGGAGTCAGGGTGTCCCCTGCGCTCGGCGGGAGTGGCGGGCTGGGGCAGGTCGGCTGTTAGGCGACAGACCGCCACCACGTGAAGGACGAGCAGGAGGGTGGGGGGTGGAGAGGACAGCGGCTGCTGCAGAGCCGCCAGAATCCCCAGCGGCCGGCGCATTGGAAGGGGACGCAGGGGACGCAGGGGCTTCTGAGCGAGCTGGCAGGGCGGCCCGGCCAGTTGGAGCTTCTGAACGCAGAGAGCCTGCCCTCTTCCCGCTCGGAGTGTTTTGTTTGCTGTGTAAAGCATAGCGTTAATTACAGCTCTGCAGGCCAGGAGGCACCCACTCGAGTCTAACTGAGTAACACGGTGGTGAGGAAGCCGCTATTAAACATGCTCAGGTGAACTTTTCTCTATATTTCGTTGGATTGTGACACAGCTCTGTTCCTGCGCACTCAGCTTCCTGGTTGGCCGCCTGCACAGCAGCTCACGACCTGGGAGGGAGGGAGGCCTGCGGGTACAGGCACCAGCCCCCGGGGCAGGGCCCTGCCTGGCCCGCTCCCTCCAGCCCCCAGGGGCGCCTGGTAACTTCGTCCCTGTGGCACACATTGCTCAGACTTGGCGGTCGGCTCCCTGCTGGGCCATGGCTCCTTCCCTCCAGAGTGCTTTGTTCCACAGCTCATGGCAGCTTTCTAAAAACGATGGCAGATAACGTGCAGTGAGTTGCTTTCGACCCTGGCCGTTTTCTTTTTTATTGGTAACTGGGTTTCAGTAGGAGGTGCCAGAGTAGGCTCTGTGTAGCAAAAGCATCTTCAGTACCGTACAGACCTGACTTCAGACCCTGATTCTGCCACCTTCTACGGCAACTTGAACTTGAGCAAGTAGGTTAACCTTTCTGAACCTCAGTCCTCATGTTTAAAATGAGGATGATGATGACAAGAATAACTGTGAGGATGAAATAAAGTTATATATTATACATAAGGCATCCAGCACAGTACCAGGTACAAAGTGTCCAAAAATAAGAGCCATTATCCAAGAAGAAATGGGAGGCATTGTGCAAGACCAGTCAAGTCATGACCTGCTGTTAAAATTAGGCTGCATTTCTGGAGGACACAGCTGTTAAAACCACCACTTTAATCCTGTCTCTGCTTCCCTTGGCCTCCTTTGTTATTCCCATTACGCCTTTCTGGAATGTCATCAACTCACAAATTAAAAACAGAAAAAAACTACACCGTGTAGAGGTGAAGGACTAGATGAAGGCCAGAATTTCATTAGGAGCTTTTTCTTCCAATTCTACCCTGTGGAATTCCAGAGACACAAAGTGGGCAGAAAGCTGTCATCGTGGCAGCGCTGCCGGCTAACTCTCAGTCACCCCACCCAGCCCCCGACAAACCCCAGGCATCAAGGCGACACACTAGAGAGGATGTCAGCTGTATTCGTAGCTCCAAAATGCACAGACTATTCTTTTCAAAACATAATCACAACACCAGCGTTCTCCCTGCCAAAAATTATTCATTCCTGAAATCATCAAATCTCCAGTCAGTGTTCAAATTTCCAATTGTCTCATTTTTTGGAAAATGAATGGCCTTCCAAGGCCACAATCTGGGTTTGGGGGAACTTATTGCTCCCAAACGGTTGGTCTTTGTTGCTAGGCCTTTTCTGTAGACAGAGCTAGGAAGTGAGTTGGTTTTTAAATATAAAATTCATCTGAGTTATACTGATGTTTTGGATTGAAATTCATGACTGCTGGCTTTGCTACTTAACTCTCGGTCTGCTCTCCCCCGTGCTAAGACCCTGTTCACAGGGACACCAGGAGTGATCAAATTCAGAATGTTGCACAGTCACTTATTTGCTTTAAACCCACAATACACATTTATCAGTTGTGGAGTAACACTGCTAGCCCTGCTGTCAACAGATGATTACTGAAAATAGTTTGAAGGGTTCTTAATTTTGCTTTGTCTTTTTGTGCTTAGTGCCTCTCCCGGTAGAATGTAGAGTCAGTGCATTCCCTCATTCTGTTACCTGCTGAGAATGATCATTTAGATGCTTATTTTACTTTAATTTTAACTTATAGGGATTACTTTTTGAAAATTTGATTTCATTTTATAATTATGTAAAAATAAGTATAGCGTTCTCAAGTCAAATCCATAAAGTATATTCAAAGAGGTTTAGCATCTGTCCTTGTCCTCCCAACCCTCCCTCTCCCCATAGATAACTGTTCAAGAAATTTAATAGACTGGGTGCAATGGCTCACGCCTGTAATCCTAGCACTCTGGGAGGCTGAGGCGGTGGATTGCTTGAGGTCAGGAGTTCGAAACCAGCCTGAGCAAGAGCGAGACGCCATCTCTACTATAAATAGAAATAAATTAATTGGCCAACTAATATAGATAGAAAAAATTAACCGGGCATGATGGCGCATGCCTGTAGTCCCAGCTACTCGGGAGGCTGAGGCAGAAGGATCACTCGAGCCCAGGAGTCTGAGGTTGCTGTGAGCTAGGCTGACGCCACGGCACTCACTCTAGCCTGGGCAACAAAGTGAGACTCTGTCTCAAAAAAAAAAAAAGAAAAAGAAATTCAATAGTTTATCCTTTCATTGTCTATGTTAAGTGTTTTTTAAATAAGCAGCTATTTTGTTTGCTTTTATTCTTTGTTTTGCTATAATTTTTAATATTTAGAGAGTTTTAAATTTTTGTTTTTATAATTCCCTTTATATTAAAATTTTTATAGAATATACCTGCTCCCTTCTTTTTGGGGTTACTGAACTTGCTTGTAATCTCTTCTTCCCTGCTTCTTCTCATACTCCAGTGTATGTTTAAAACAATATCCTTTTACTCTCAGTAACCACGAGGCACTTGGCAAGCTTATTCTACCGTCTACACCCTCTCTCCATTCTCACCTTTGGATGGCTGTTGTGGGAGGCGGCAATCCACCTTGCTGTTGCCCTGCTGTCACCCTGCTGTCACTTTAAAGCCATAATTCAGTCTTGGTTCCACAGGTAGATACAGATTTAGCACCCACCACCAGTCCTGTGTGTCGATGTATCTGCAGTTATTTTGGTTGTGTGATTTCTGTGCACTTTTTGATCTTAGGACCAACCCATTTGCACTTCTGAAAAAATTACTGAAGTCCCTCAAAGAGCTAAATCTGTTGATATTTATGTATTAGAAATTTGAACTAAGAAATCTTTAAAATATTAATTCATTTTTAAAAATGAAAGATTCATTATATTTAAACATGAATAATATATTTTTATGGAAAATAGTCATATTTTCCAAAACGAAAAAAATTTTCAGTGAGGAAAGTGGCATTGCTTTACATTTTTTCCAAATCTCTTTATGTCTGACTTAATAGAAGACAACTGGATTTTCATACCGGCTTCTGTATTCAATCTGTTGTAATAAATTGCTTTGATGTATGGAGAAAATGTGGCTTCACACAGATACGCAGCTGGAAAAGGAAGCAGTTGTTTTAATTGTGTCTTCAGATAATTGAAGATATTCTTCTATGATGCTAGACCAAAACTCAATGAGTAGCAGTTTCCTAAAGGTTAGTTGCAATGTGACATCTAACACAGCAATGGGTTTTTGGTTGTAAGTCACACTGAGATCCACTGGGCTGTCCTGTACCTTGAATAGATCTTTTGCCCATGGATAGTTTTGTAACTTCATATGTTGTTCACTGGGTAATGGGTTTGCTGAGACTTTCAACTCTTCCTAATGTTGATGTACTTCATTATAAAATACTAAAAACTGTCATGCTCATTAATATCACCACTCTTAGGAGAAGTCTTTAAGTGTTGGGAAGATGGCAAGCTTATGGTGGTAGACAATTTTTCCCAAATTCTAATTTCCACTTGAAAGCTTGAATGTTATCATTGGCAACCTTGGCAATTAAAGTGATGGACTCACTTCTTTTTCAAGAAAATGTCTTCCAAGTACCCAAGTCTGAATAACCATAGTTTACCTAAATTCTCTTTGCATCCTTCCCTTATCACAGAATATTCAAAAGACATCTACTTAGATTCAAGATTTAATGCAATTAATAACTTTTGCTATTCTTAAGTGAATCTGACGTTCCCCCACTCTGCGTGGAGCAACGTGGAGGCTGGTGCCGCGGCCGCTGCTGCAGGTGCTGCCTGCCCCACCGCCCTGCTCTGCCATCGGTGCAGGCGTCACCGCCGGGAGAGCGTCTTAGTGTCGCATGAAATTGGCTTAGCTCCACACCCTGCTGAAGGGGTCTCGGGGACCACACTTCGAGAGCGTCTGCTTTAGTTGATTTCTCAGCAAGGGCTCAGCTCATGAGAACAGATGTTCCCTGAGTTCGTTCGTTGCAGTTTGTAGGTGGCCTTTATATTTGAAAGTCCATTTTTCTGGCAATAAAACCCATGGCTCACATTCTGTTGTCCTGAATGTCTCCATTGTCTTTTGGCATGGGCAGAGTCTGAAGACTTTGATTTTCTTTCGCTCATAAGGAACTTTAGTTTTCCTGGATGCCCAAAGACCTTTTTTTCTTTTCTTTTAGAGTAATTTTATTAGCGTGTATCTCAGTGCCGTTTCTTCTGAGTCAGTTTTCCTTGGTACATGGTGTGCCCTTTCAATATGTAATTTCAAGTCTTTTTTTTAAATTATTATTTCACAAGAGTATTTTTTGAATTATAGTTTTTAGTATTTTTTCACTTCCCTGCGCCCCAGACCGGAGTCGAGCCCCACAACCGGAGTCGGGCCCTGCACCCGGAGTCGGCCCCGCACCCGGAGTCGGGCCCCGCACCCGGAGTCGGGCCCCGCACCCGGAGTCGGGCCCCGCACCCGGAGTCGGGCCCCGCACCCGGAGTCGGCCCCGCACCCGGAGTCGGGCCCCGCACCCGGAGTCGGGCCCCGCACCCGGAGTCGGGGCCCCGCACCCGGAGTCGGGGCCCCGCACCCGGAGTCGGGCCCGCGCCCACGGGGCGTTTCTCCCCACCCCGCCCCAGTTCCTGGCAGGATGGTTCTGTTCAGTGCCTATGTTTTTAAGTTAAGTGAAGTTGATTCTCATTGTCACATGGATAGCTATTAATGGTGTGCAAGAGGTCTGAATGCACTGGGGCCTGTTGGCAAGACTCGCACTGGTGTAAGTAGTCACAGGGCCCGCGGCTCTGCGGAAGTGGCCGGTGCCTGCAGGCATGATTGTCCCCTTCCCGTGGCACATATTTCAGTGCATGCAAATGACCTTCCTCCCTTACCTTTCCATTGCACGTTTTCTCTTAAGACAGCAGTACTTGTCCATACTCTGGGTATTTCAACTAGTATTGCTCAACCAGAAAAAGGGTTTTCAAACTGTCAGAAGTCACAGACCTTTTTTCACCCTACAGTCTATTTACTGAAAGAATATCCAGAGATGCCTTACTTCAAAATCTACTAGATTTTTTAAATTATGGTAATATATATAAGTTTTGCCATTTTAGTTGTTTTTAAGCATACTATTCAGTGGCAGTAATTACATTCACAGTGTTGTACAACCATCACCACTGTGCATTTCCAAATTTTTTATTATCCCAAACATGTATGCCGTACCCATTATAGAATAACTCTCTGTCCCCTCATGAAATCATAGTATATTTTAAATTAAAAACATGTATTTGATTAAGAGCTAAAATATTGTGGTAAATATAGGACCAATGGTAAAAAAAAATGCAAAAATTATAGTAATTGTGGAAAACCAGTCAGAAATAATTACAAGACAATATTAAGTAGAGAAGATTGTAATAAATTGCCTTTTCCCCCTTATCTGAAGAAACATAAAACAATAGAAAGTATTTTGCCTATAGGTGGTGACACTCAGACTTCATCTTCACTCTGTTTTTGATTTCATCGGGGAAAAATATTAATATGCGGGCAAGGATAAGAAAGAATGAATTCATGGCACCCAGAAGAAGGTGCTGGATGCACGGCAGTCCTATCACAGATTGGAAAACGGGGAAGAAACCCCTTTCTTTTACAAAATCAGCATCCAGCCTGAGTTTAAGCCTGGCACCACCTCATGAGCAGGTCACCTCGCCTTGGTGACATGGGCTGGGACTGCTGTCTGGAAGAGAGCAAGGATGTGCTAACTATGAGAGATGGCTGTTTCCTCCACGTGACTCAACTTCCCTTTGTGAAATAGCCCTGGCATCGGGGTTGGTTTTAGAGAGAGAAAGATGTCGTCCTGGTTCTTTGGCTCCTTGCTTGGAAGACTTACAAGCTCGGCTGCACTGGAGCGATGACAGACACGAAGCACTGCCACACGAGCAGCTTTTATTGCAAAGCGGAAGTAAGTTCCAGAGAGAGGAACAGGTCTACCCCGTGAGTGGGAAAGACCCTGAGTTTAAAGACAGAGTATAGAAGGTATGGCACAGTCTCAAGGTCAGCAGAGAATGGACTGCTCCAGTAAGGAACAGTGTCATCCCAGGGTTAGGGTTGTCCTTTATGCTAATCCCTAACAGTATGTTAAGCTGGGGTTGGAATATTCATGTCTTTTCAGGGGAGTGGGTGGAGATTCCCTGAGTCACGTACCCTCCCATTTTCTGTCCTTGTATGGCTGGCTCCAGACTGTCATGGTGCTAGGGGCTGTGATTTTTGCTATGCTAACGGAGAAAGGTTACCTGCCAGCAGGTTCTCCAGCCCTCTGCACATACCCTGGTGGAAGGAAAGTCCCTAAACCACCATTTCTCGCTGTTGTGGTATGTACTCCCTCATTGGTCTGTGCCACCTACCAACCTCATCCCTACCTAACTCTGGGGTGCTCTCCCTGCATCAGCCCTGGCAGGAGGAGCCTGCCTGCCCAGGCTGGCACCTGTGACTTCCCTCCACTCACCCTATAATAAGCCCTTCATCACGTGCAGAGAATGGGCCAGGCCTTGGCCTTGGCGAGTGGTCACATCTTCTGTCCCTGGTTAGGAGTAGGTGCTTGTCTCCCTATGGAAATTCACTGTTAAGCTTCCTAGTTCCTAGGGGATCTTCAATGTCTTCCTTAATATCTGCCCTGGGTGATTAAGACTGGATCCAGGGAACACCCTGTATGTACAAACTTCATTCTATTCATCTTATCTCTCAGAGAAAAATCTATTTTTTTTTTTTTTTTTTTTTTTTGAGACAGAGTCTCACTTTGTTGCCCAGGAGTGAGTGCTGTGGCATCAGCCTAGCTCACAGCAACCTCAAACTCCTGGGCTCAAGCAATCCTACTGCCTCAGCTTCCCGAGTAGCTGGGACTACAGGCATGTGCCACCATGCTCGGCTAGTTTTTGGTATATATATTTTTTTAGTCCATCAATTAATTTCTTTCTATTTTTAGTAGAGACGGGGTCTCACTCAGGCTGGTTTCGAACTCCTGTACTCGAGCAATCTGCCCACTTTGGCCTCCCAGAGTGCTAGGGTTACAGGCATGAGCCACCACGCCCGGCCAAGAAAAATCTCTCTTAAAGTGTATATTCGGCAGTAAGGGATACTTATTAGGAACATGAAAATAATTCAGGATCTCTCATACCCTGGTGAGGTTGCTGGAAGGTGCGTAAAACTGATGCAGCCTTTCACAAGAGCAGTTTGGGAAATCATATCGAAATCTAACATACGCACACCCTTTGACTCAGAAATCCCACTGCTATCAAGCTATCTTTAAAAAAAATCAATGAGACTTTACAGACCTATGTAGACAGATATTTATTTTAGGATCGTTTATAAGGAAAATGGAAAATGTTCATCTCTAGGGCAATGGTTAAATAAATTGCAGTTATTGCAGTGAATGGAATAGGACGTAGTCGTTAAGAGCAAGGTACTGATGGTAAAGGATGTATACAAAATGTTCTTATATCAAAACAGTAACAGAATAACCTACAAAAATGTTTTAAAAAATACTATGGGTACATGTGTTGGTGTGTGTAAGATTTGAAGTAAATTAGAAATAGGATTGGGGTGGCTGCAATGATTCACACCTGTAATCCCAGCACTTTGGGAGGCTGAAGTGGGATGATGGCTTCAGTCTAGGAGTTGGAGACCAGCCTGGACAACATAGCAAGACTCCATCTCTAGAAAATATAGGAAAATCAGCTGGGTGTCATGGCACATGCCTGTAGTCCCAGCTACTCAAGAGGCTGAGGCAAGAGGATCACTTGAGCCCAGGAATTCAAGGTTGCAGTGAGCTATGATGATGCCACTGCACTCTAGCCTGAGCAACAGAGCAAGATCCTATCTCAAGAAAATAAGAAAAGAAATAGGGTGGCTTAGGCAGAACACCACACTTCTTTTGCCCTGCATGGCCTCCTCTGGGACAGTCCATCCTTCCTTGACTTTCCTGGCTGAAATAACATGCAAGCCATCGAGTTTTTTTCTTCTCTTTTTTCTTTTCTTCCTTCTGCTTTATTGGATCCACAGCAAAATTGAGCCGAAGGTGCAGAGAGGAAGTTCCCACGTTCCTGCCCATGCAGCCTCCCCACCATCTGCACCCACAGCGGGGTGTGCGGTTCCACTGAGAAACCTGCGCTGCGGCGGTGTCCTCGCCCCACGTCATAGTCACGTTCAGGCTCACTGCTGCATGTTGTGGTACTTTCTTTTGACAGACGCATAAAGGACATGTGTCTGCTATCCAGCGTCATACAGATCAGTGTCACTGCCCCGCATCCCCTGGGCTCCTCTGGTCACCTCCCCCCCAGCCCCTGCAACCACCCATCTTTCCACTGTGTCCACGGTTTTGCCTTGTCCAGAACGTCACACAGTTGGAGTCACACGGGAGGTGGTTTTCACACTGGCGTCTCTCACTTGCTGATACGCACTGAGGGTTCCTCCGAGTGTTCGTGGCTGACTGGCTTGTTTCTTTTTAGCACTGAACAATGTTGCACTGTTTGGATGGACCACATCACTGCTCACCTCCTGAAGGACACCTCGATTGCTTCCAAGTTTTGGCAATAATCAATAAAACTGCTATGGGTGGTCATTTATAGGTTTTTGTGTGGAAATATAAATTCTTGACTCCTTTGGGCGAATGCCAAGAAGCGCCATTGCTGAGCCCTATGGTAAGAGTATGTTTAGTTTTCCAAAGTGGCCGTACCACGTCGCAGTGAACAGGAGTTCCTGCCGCTCCGCGTCCTGGCGGCCTCTGGTGTGGGCGGTATTCTGGGTTGGGCCACCCTTATGTGTCTAGAGGTGTCTCCGTGCGGTGTTAGTCTGTGTCTCCCTCGTGACGCGTGACATGGTCATCTTTTCATATGGTTTCTGGCCATATGTCTCTCTTCTTTGGTGAGTCCAATTTCTATTTTTAATTTTCGTTTAACAGGAACTCCCCAAGTTACTATACATTATCTTTCAAAAGGGCATTTTTAAATAAAATATTATAATTCAGAATTAATTTTCCCCCAAAGTTAGTGTTGTATACAGTACTAGATTCTTATAAAATGAGAGCGGCCGTAGAGGGCTCTACGCAAAGGGCAGATGGGTCTCTCAGATTCTGTCTGAGAGATTTCCTAGGTAAGAGGATGACTCAGAAACGGTGACGCGGAATTGGGCCCCGAGTGAAACGGCGTAACGGAGGCGGTCTCCCCATCCTTGTGGAGTGGCTCTGCCTTGTCATCTCAGCACACCTGCTGTGCTGCGTCCTGTCTGAGCAGCGAGGCCTGCGGGCCGGGGCCGGGGCGGGCCGTGTTGGGCGTGTGGAAAGCAGGACCAGCCTCGCCAGGCCCCCAGCGTGGGGGGGGGGGAGCCCCAGGCACGTCCTCGGCCCGAGCCGGCTCACCCATCCTGGCGGCTGGCAGTGTTGCGGCCTGTCACGTACACGTGTGCCCAGTGCACCACCTGCAGTGGGAGCCGTGAGAGGGCGCAGAAATGACAGGCGCCAGCTGCCGCTGTGTCCAGAGGGTCAAAGCTTCCTTTTCCAAAGACAGTGTTACTGGCAGTTGCTTTCTCCAACGATAGATTGCGTCGTGCTGCCTGTATAAGATGCAGTATCCCAGAAGAGAGAGAACCGAGAAGTCTGCCCCCTCAGTCTGAAGCCAGCGGTCTGATAGGACTGACGATGGAGTAGTCAGAGCATGGGTTTTGCTCTCTCCTCACCGTGTCCTTATTTTTCAACATGGCTATCAGGGAACTTTATACATAAACCACTCGCAAGGCGACCCTTGCTCTAGAAAGAAAGGCTCACCTGTGAGGTTTGCTTCAGGGGAAGCCATGACTGCTCAGTTGACTTCCTGATGACGGGAGTCCTCTCTGTCGCAGAGCTCTCCAGGGCCTTGGTGCTCACGGAAATCGGCCCCAAGCGTGACCCTGCGACTCTGAAGCTGTTCCTGGGCAACATGGAGCGGCTGCTGCACGCCAAGGCTCACGGGTATGGGCTCCGCCCTGGGAGTGCTGTGGCCAGGGGGAGGCGCCAGCACACACTCTTGCTAAGACTCCCGGGTTTCGAGGACGCCCTGAGTGGCGGGAGCAGGAGAGGGCCGCGTGTGCCACGTGGCGACACCAGGCCCAGGGAAGCCAGGCGGCGGGTCCAGCCTCCGGCCACGGCACTGTAGTGTCTGCGGGGCCTGTGTCTCTTCTGGTGGCTGTTTAAAGAGTCTGCGTAACGGCCTCGGCTCTCGGCCAGCACACCTTGCATGTCCTCGGCGTCCTCCCTAAGGGCCGGCTTCCGATGGACGCTGAGCCGATCTGCCTCCTGAGTGGTGACTGAGCCCAGCCGTGCGCTCGCCCTGCCAGCGGTCTGCGCCGCGACCACGCTGAAGGCCCAGCCCTAGAGACCAGAAGTTCAGGTCTGCAGCTGCACTGGCCACGTCTCTCTGAGGCACGTCTCTCGTGCCAGGCGGGGTGACGGGTAAAGTCGGCTGCACGCTGCATGAAGAACCCCACCTCCACCTGCAGCCACCCCCTCCCTCTCCCTCAGGGTCCGAGTGATCGGAAGCTCCACCTTGGCGCTCTGCCACCTGGCCTCGGGGGCCGCCGACGCGTACTACCAGTTTGGCCTCCACTGCTGGGACCTGGCAGCCGCCACAGTCATCATCAGAGAAGCAGGCGGCATCGTGATGGACACTTCGGGTGAGCCCTCCTGTCCCTGGTGCAGCTGCAGAAACTAGACTGTCATGGGCGGGGCGCTTCTGGGGCCCCCATGGCACTCAAGTCCCCCGCTCCCCGACAAGACTGTGCAAGGGCGCCATGAGGGCAGTGCTACCCACCCCTCAGCCTGCAGGATCAGGGTATCTTGACCAGATAACAGCAGTACCTCACGCTCACACACCACCAGCGGTTTTCTAGGGGCTTCTACACACACCCAGATGCCACAGAATCCAACGAGGTAGACAGAGCAGGTGTCGTGTCCCGAGTACCTGAGGTCAGGTGCCTCCCCAGGACCCCACGGTGGGTGTTGGATCAGACCAGTACAGGGCACTCGCCTCCTGCTGGGTTTCAGCGTCATGGATTGGGAAGATGGCCTAGTCCCTCTGTGTTGCGGTCACACCAGTCCCGGTGACTGGCCTGGGAGCGTGAGTGAGCCCCTGCATGACGCTCCCTGCCGTGTCCGCTTACTTCAGACAGACCCGTTCTCCCCTGGCCCTCAGCCCAGACCCTGTTACAGAGACGCTGTGGCCCACGCTTAACCACTGGGTATGAACAGTGGATCTTTTGTAATTTGAGTAATTTGAGCTCTCCTTTTTTTTCTTATTTCTCCTTTGAAAGACCCTAATCGCGCTAGCAGAAAGGTATAAAAATGAAGAGGTGTCAACTGTAGTGGACCAAGTAGGCAAGTTTCACATTTTAAAAGCCCCCAGGACTCTGGATTCTGTCACGAGCTCCTCAAGGCTCGAGGATGTGCTGCAGGTCTCCAGTCACGACGTCAGTCCTGTTTCATACCCCCAGGAAGATGCAGGGCTTCGCTGTCCACCCCCTGCTGCTCAGAGTGCAGTCCCCAGGGCAGAGGGGCACCCGTGGGCTCGGGACAGGCCAGCACGACCCTGCCCAGACTGCCGTGTCAGAGCCCTGGATTCACAAGGCCCAGCTGACCCACGCACGCAGGCAGCACAGGGAAGGACGGCTCCCCGTGCCGTCTGCCACGTGGCCTTGCGCCGCGGTTTATGTTCTCCCAGCGCAGTCTCTCAGATGGCTGCAGCTTCGGGGACTTGCGGGTCTGTACAGCCCTGGACTGGTGGGAGGTGACAGGCCCCATTCGTCTCTTCCTTGCTGGGCTCGCTCCTAAGCCCACCGGTTTGCTGCAGGTATTGGGACTCGGCATGGTCCCGTGCGCTGTTTTCCGTGGTGCGTGTGTGATAGATAAGTTGTTATGCAGGATTGTCCGGCCCTCTCCAGTAACCGAGGACCTGGCTCTCCCCTGTCTTCCCCAGGTGGACCCCTCGACCTCATGTCCTGCAGAGTGGTTGCTGCCGGCACCCGAGAGATGGCAATGCTCGTAGCTCAGGCCTTGCAGACTATTAACTATGGGCGGGACGATGAGAAGTGATGGCAGCGGACAGCAGAGCAACTCTGAAAGCTTCCACGGGGTGCTGTGGGGCTCCCTGGGAAGCGGGTGGCCCCAGCAGCCTGTGCTCCAAGCCAGGGTCTCAAGCTTTGCTCCTTGCTACCCTAAAGGGAAGTGTCCTGCTAAAGTGTGCGGCAAGCCTTTTAAATCTACTTCTCTCTCACCAGGATTTGATGTTTAGCTGGTTTCTCTCTATAAGCACATGTAGCGTTTTCAGGTTAGTACATGCTCCTCTGTCAGAGTCAAAACCCGAATCTCCTATGAAATGAAGATTGATAATCCAACCTTGATTTTTTCCAGAATACAAATCTAAGGTGATAGGCTTTAGGGTTGCCGTCCAACGGGCTCGTTCCCAGGCCCCACGCCACTCAGGAGTGCAGACAAGCAAAGCCAGGCCCTGGCCGCCTGTCCCCAGTGGTCACTGCTGCCCAGGAGCCCGAGGGATGGCGGCTGCAGGTGTAGGCTGTCTGGGAAGGGCTGCGCACAAAACCCAAGGGCGACCGTGTGCGACATTTGCTGCCTTCGATAAGCACTCTGCAAGTGGTTCAGTGACTGTCGTGTCAGTGTTCAAAGTCCAAGTATGGGACCAACTGAGGGAAAACTGACAGCCCAAAAACAAACCTCTGAAATGCTATTGCTGTGAACATTTAATGGGGAGAAATTGTACCATATTTTCTGGGCTGTGTATTTTCTCATTAGGAGGCAGATTCCCATGTGATCCTTTCTGAGGTGTGAGAATTGAGAAAGTTGGTCTCAAAACAGAGAAAATTCTGACCCACTCTTAAATCTGCCTGGTTTGCTGTCAGCCCACACAGGGTGTTGGGTGTCTCCCTGGCGTATGCGGTCTGGCCCCTCACATAACCCCATCGCTTTCATCAGCCCTGGCTGGGCACTCGATCCTGCTGAGGTGCTCAGGGCCACTGGGACACCCTGGCCTCAGCCATCCTGGGCGAACCACAGAGGCCCGGTCACTGCCCAGGGACAATCCGAGAGGGGTTCCACTGAGGAGGAATTTTTGGGAACAAAGTGCCCTAATGCCTTGCCTCCACTTCCCCTTGCACTGCTTTTTGATAAATTTACTGTCTAAAGCAGGGGTCCTCAAACTTTTTAAACAGGGGCCAGTTCACTGTCCCTCAGACCATTGGAGGGCTGTTGGAGAGTGCGGGTGCACATTCCACACATGCACTGTGGGCCCTGGATGAGCCAGCTGCTAAGCAGGACAGGCAGCGGTGACAAAAACACCCGGCGGGCCAGATAAATGTCCTCGGTGGGCCGCATGTGGCCCTCGGGCTATAGTTTAAGGACGTCTGGTCTAAAGGAAGGAGTTTCCTCTTCTGGTCCGAATAGGGTGGCCAGGTGAGCCCTGACGGCACAGGAGGTGTGAGGACTCCGGTCTCATTTGGGACTCGGAGCCCATGGCGCAGGAATCCGTGTGCATGGGGGCCACCGCTTCAGGGGAGAGGAGGCCCTCTGAGCCTCCGTTCTCCTGCACCCTCCTGACCACATCCCACCTCCCATTGATCCGGCAGTGGAGGCGATAGTTCTTCCAGAGACCGCCCATCCCGTGCCTAGATCATCCTTATTGTTAGAATGTCCCATAATAACACTGCCTCTGTTCTGATTTTAACTGTTAGGTCCATGAATAACTGGTGTTTGAGGAACAGTAACCCTCTCGCCTGCCCTTGTTCCCCAGGTGATACAGCTCTGTCCCCTCCCCAGGCTCTGAGGGCGACCCCTCCACCTGGGTGCGTAATCCTGCAGTCGCTGAGGTGCGCGCCGTCGCCCCGAGTCCCTTACTGAGCCAGCCCAGGCTTCCTTCTGCTCTTTGGTCACGCATGTCACCCTGCGGAAGCCCTTGGGGTGGCAAGAGCCCCGAGTGCGCACAGCTGCTAAGGCACACTGCGCCGCATGCCCTGCACGGCTGGGTTATAAAGCCCTGGTGGGACGCCTGTTTTGTCCTCGCTCTGTCGCCTCATTGCCACTGCCCATGCCGCAGCCTGTCAGGGTCTCCTTGCACCTGGTGTTCCCTCCAGCCTGGTGCCCATCTCTGGAAGCTTCTTATCTTCATGTTTGCTTAGCCTGCCATCAACAACTCTAATTCAAATCAGGGGGAACGTCGGCGATGGAGGGAAGTGCTGAGTCTCTCAGCACCTTACCCGAGAGCTCTCCAGGTGCTCTCGCGTCCCTGAGGGTGGCCACAAGACAGCGCCCTGCGCAGTCACTGTGCTGCAGCTGGCTCACGTCTCTGCATTGGCCAGAGGATGGCAGGAGATGCTGCCAGAGGTCTTGCTGAAATCCAGGTTTATAGCTGTGCTGTCTAACACAATAGCCACTAACCACATGCACCTACATAAAGTTGAATCAATTAAAATGATATTAAAATTTCACTCCTTGGTGGCTCTGGCCACAATTCCAGTACTCAGTTCTCACATGTGACTGGCGGCTGCCATGTCAGGCAACACAGAGAAAGTGCAGATACTTCATCATCTAAGAATGTTCCATTGGGTAGCACCACACAGAGTGACTCCAATAATCTGAAATCTTGGTTTATTTTATATAAGTCTATTTTATGGAATCTGCATTCTTCCCTGGTTTTTTTTTCAGTCTCCAGTCTTCAAAGATTTCCCATAGCAGTCTTGCCCATGAGGCCACCACTGTGTGATGGGACCAGGCAGCATGGAGCAGGGTCAAGAGGACCCAGCCTGGGCCATGCAGGGCCAGGGCAAGTAACGCACCTGTGGTCGCACAGTGGAGCCAGATTGGCGTCCTAGAGTTGCAGACAATTCTGTGACACTCTGACTCCATGAGGGCAGCCCTAAAGGGAAAGCCTTGCGCAGGGAGGGGGCGGGCAGCTGGACAGCTGCGGGCTGGCGGGCGTCTGCTGGAGAGCTGGCTGGGAGCGCCGCCTCCTCCCCGCCGCGCGGAGGCCGGGCCGCCTGCTCTCTGGCCTCAGCCCAGGCGGCAGCTGCAGCTGCTGCCTCCTGACAGGGGCACAGGGGCTAAATGGGGGCATGTGAAGACCTGGCCAGTGCCCTGCATGTCCTTGGCACTCAGTAGATGTGAGTACTTCACCAGCACCTAGAACCTTCTAGCCTGAGCTTCCCCAGATGAGTCTGAGAACCAGATCGCCCAGGTACCCAGCTGTGAGTTCCAGCGCCACGCAGTGCACATCCAGGACACTTGGACAGGCCCCCAACCACTGTGTCACAAACAGGACCTGGGTGAGCAGCCACGGTGGCACAGCATCTTCTTCTGGGTTTTATTTCTGCTAAAATAACTTTAGGACGACATGAATCTTCTGCTGCCTGTAATCCCAATGTTGTGGGCTGCACCCTCGTCCCAGTCGTTGTCCTACTGGTCCGTCACACAGATAGAAACGTGCACCAGCCTGGCCACTGTCCTGCACCTGACACAGCTGTGAATTGGGCCAGATTCTGCTGTGAGGAATGACTTGCTGGGCACCTCAGGGCCATGGGTGCCTTAGACTCTTCCAGAAGCCAGCAGAGATTCTTTCAAGTGCCTGCCTTGCTCTGTTGGACCAGTGTCATGTGTTGCTACTTCTGGAGCCTCGAGTCACAGGCTGAGACACATCATCTGTTCACCCAGGAGTGCTCAAGTTCAAGAGTGTGAGGACCGCCGGGACACCTCCAGCCCATACCATCTTCATCCTTCCCACAGAATCCTGTGTGCATGTGTGCGACATATATGTTATATATTAAAGCCATGTTCAAATTAATTTGGGGCAACCAAAATATGTAAGATCTTGGATTCGATTTTCCCAATGAGGTTAGTTTTCCATGAGGTTAGTTGAAGATTAGTGATATAAATGAAATGAAAACAGTTGTTCCAGCCGAGGGGAGTGAACTGTGTAGGTTTCTGGTGGGGGGAGGAGCAGGACGGGGCTTGGGGAGGTCTCAGGGCTCAGATGATAGAATAACTGCCCCGGGAGCTCGCACATGCGTGTTAGAAGAGGTGATGTGTGCAAATGAGTTAGGATTCTCTAAGTCGTGTAGTTTCATACTTTGCTGCATTTTCCTAGGAAAAGGCCATGATTGCTTTTCAAAATTGTTTCATGAACTCCTCCCCTGAACACTGTCACCCCGGGGAGCCTCCCCTGCTGTCTTCACAGTGACTAGCTTCGCTCTTCAGGAGCTGGGCGCGGCGCAGGGACTTGGACGTGCAATGTGAATGTGTGCATGGGCGGGTGTTTCCCGTCTGCTGGCTGGGAAGCCTGGAGAGGGGCTTGGCTTTGGTAGGCTGCAGCTCCGAGAGGAGCCGCGTGCTTTGCACAGACTCCCCAGGGCAAAGATTAATACTGTGATGAGGGCTGTGCTTGAAATATGGTTGCCCCGTGGCCCCTGCGAGAGCGTGTCCACGCCACGCATTCGTCGGGCGAACGCAGGGGCTGTGAGAGGCGAGCAGAACTGCCTACCCTCGGTCCTCGCAGCCAGGATGCTCACTGCTGTTCCTGCCGCCGGCTCCCCTGTGCTCACTTCGGTGGCGCTAGGAGTGTGTCAGCACTCTGGCAGTGTGACAACTTGCAAGTGTTTTTCCTATCAGTCTCATGATCTGTAGGCTATATTTACATGTCCCCAATCTTCAGCCATTTTATTTCCTGCCTGAGTGAACTATTTAAGATAGTGAAGTTACCATCAAAATGAAGTTTGGGGGCACCTTCTTTGAAACCTGCATGAATTAGAAGGAAAAAGTTGAAATTTAAAAGCAATACCAAAATATGATGAAATTTGACATTTTTTTTTTTTTTTTTTTTTTTTTTGAGACAGAGTCTCACTTTGTTGCCCAGGCTAGAGTGAGTGCCGTGGCGTCAGCCTGGCTCACAGCAACCTCAATCTCCGGGGCTCAGCGATCCTACTGCCTCAGCCTCCCGAGTAGCTGGGACTACAGGCATGCGCCACCATGCCCGGCTAATTTTTTGTATATATATTTTTAGTTGGTCAATTAATTTATTTCTATTTTTGGTAGAGACGGGGGTCTCGCTCAGGCTGGTTTCGAACTCCTGACCTTGAGCAATCCGCCCGCCTCGGCCTCCCAAAGTGCTAGGATTACAGGCGTGAGCCACCGCGCCCGGCTGAAATTTGACATTTTGAACATATTTTAGGCATACACTCAGGATTTTGAAACATCGAGCATAAATTTCTGTGGCAAAGATTAGGAAAAGAATATTCAAGAGAGAATGAATTTAGAAGTGTAGCTGGACAAGGGTCAGAATTCTGGGTCTGAGTTCAGGTTTGGCTGTACACTAATTAGCCATGTGACCATGAGCAAGTCATTGACGGAAACCAAGGCCCCAAGGGCACCTGCGATGTTTGTGTATTGAAGATCTCTGGGCTCTTTTCCAGTTGCTTTTGCCCTCTGCCTGGACAGTGTTACTATTGGGAATAGAGAAGTGTGTGTTTTCCAGCTGTGAAAGTTAATATTTTGTTTGTAATTAACTTTTTGCATATTTCCACAGGTTCACTCCTGAGTGAGCACTGTGTCTTGCCACGTTTTATGATAGTTTTGCCTTTGAAGAAACAGGCAATCCAGTACCTGACCAGGTTCCCTGTCTTTCCAGGATACCAGATAGCTCCAGCCACTCGGCCACAAGCACCCTTGAGGAGACTGGTCTTTCTTTCATCTCTGGAAATAGCTTGATTTGTCATCTTATTGCTCTGTTTGCACAAATTTTGTTTAATAGGACTTTTCAATAAATAGTATGGAGTTTTTAAATGAGAGTTGAAAACGTATGCTCACATTTCTCCAAATTGCTAATTATCCCTTTAGGT